GAAGCAGCGCAGTGACATCGTGTCATGACCAACCGATTGCGCCACCAAGCTCAGCACCGAGGGTGCGGCTGATGAGGAAGTATGGGCCCCCACTCCGCATGCGTCCGTTTGTGACAATGGCTGTGGAGGGGGAGGGGAGGGGCACACATGTGCACACGCAAAGGTCAGAGACCGGGTGGGGACGAGGAAGCGCAAATGCGCATAAAAGTCGAGATGCAGTGTCTGATGCACTCGAAGGTGTACCACTGCAGACACACAGACACACGAAGACAGACAGACAGACAGACAGACAGACAGACAGACACACACACACACACACACACACACACACACACACACACACACACACACACACACGCCGGCACATGCGAGGCTTGACTCACCACTCACACCGGATGTCGTCATGAGCGCGAGCACCAGGATCATGGCCACCATGCCCAGCGTGTAGTACAGCCCAACCTTCACACACCACGTGCAACCATCGGCCAATGCAGAAGATGAGCTGGTGTGGAAGCTGGAGCGAGATGCTTTGCTGTTGACTGCCCGACGTACACACACACACACACACACACACACACACACACACACACACACACACACACACACACACACACACACACACACACACACACACGAACACATACCTCTGCAATGACAAAGGAGATGCGAAGGAACAGCGTCGGGCCGATGATGCCGATGCATGCCGGCACATACACGCCTCGAAACATCGTCAACTTTCCCTGTGATGTGGAGTACAAGCAAAGGCAGAATCAACATGAGGTTTCGAAGCAGCATGCCGTGGAGAAGGCGTTTCTTCACACAGACACACACACGCACAGACACACACACACACGCACACGCACACGCGCGCGCGTGCACAGACACACAGACACACAGACACACAGACACACACACGCACACCCCCCACACACACACAGACACACACACACAGACACACACACACACACACACACACACACACACGGGCAAACATGCAAAGCCACACACTTGACATTGTCACCAACCCTGGGCATCACAAAGTCCTTTATCCATGCTGGCATAACAACAACATCAACAGCAGCCAGGCAACACCAGTAAGTGTGCGTGAGGCATCCAAACATAAGCGGAAAATGGGAGTCTCGGACACATGCATCCACATTGGCAAGTGCAGTCACAGCATGTCCAAACATACACGCACACACACACTCATACACGCACACACATTGGCAAGTGCAGTCACAGCAAGTCCCAACATACGCGCGCACACACACACACGCACATTCATACACGCACACACACACACACAACAAGTTATACCCCAGATGGCAGATGCGGGGCTCCTGTCGTGTGATCGTGGCCCGCTCGGCGGGAGTCCATTGAGAAGAAGATGGGCATGTGGATCTGAAGCCGGGTGCTCGGTGTCCGCTTCAGCGTCATCACTGCCGATTCCATGCACGTCTTCCGTGAACACTGCGCTCATGCCGCTGTGCGATGGAGGCGATTGAGGCCGACTGTCCCAGTTCCAGGCAGAATCACCACCCATGTTCCAAATGCTTGTCACGCGCGGGCGCGATGCTTCACCGGCAGGCACACCGCCATCATCACCGCCAAGTTCATCACTGCCATCATCACTGCCACCACCACCAGCAGTCAACCCCATCCCCACCACACTCCTTCCTGCAGAAAACACAAACAAATGAATGTTGCGGGTGTCATCGCCAGTTTTCTACATCCAAGATGGTGGTTGATGGTGCTGGCACGACAGAAGCATCGCCGAACAACGCAGCGGTCGCACCAGCAGCGCAGACGAGGGTCACCAGCAACAGCTGCAGCAGCACCAGTGTTTCTCGGCAATGGTGTCAGTGAGGATGGTTGTAGTTGTACTCGCTGTGGTGATGCTGGTCATCCCATATTCTTCCGTGGCTACTGCTGCTTCCGGCCGCAGCAACACAAGCCCAGAGGAGCAGCCACAGACGCACACGCATAGCAACCCCGCGTTGTGTGCCAGGGTGCAAGCGACCTTGACTTCGCTCTCTGGTCTTTTGGACAGCCACAACATCACCCACAACCTGCACGCACCGGCTGATATTGCTGGCACCAATGCCGCCGCTGCCTCACCTGCTGCTGTTTTCAGCCACAACAGTCACAGCGAGGTGTGTGCGCGAGTTGAGAGTGTTGTGTGCGCATGTGTGCTTTTGTTTGTATGTGTGTGCTTGTGTTTGTGTGCGCGTGTGTGCTTTTGTTTGTATATGTGTGCTTGTGTTTGTGTGCGCGTGTGTGCTTTTGTTTGTTGTATGTGTGTGCTTGTGTTTGTGTGCGCGTGTGTGCTTTTGTTTGTTGTATGTGTGTGCTTGTGTTTGTGTGCGCGTGTGTGCTCTTGTGTGGATGTTCCTATGAGTGTGCTTGTACATTCTTCTGTGTGTGTGCTTGTGTTTGTGCTCGTTGTGATATGGTTGCTCTTCTCCGCTCCTCATTTCGTCTTCACCACCAACCACCAACCACGGCAATGGCAACACCATCAGGCCGACCTCTCTGCGCTGCAGGACATGCTGTCCACCGTCTGTGCCAACGACAAGTCGACGTCAAGCGAGTCAAGCGATCCCTCGTCGCGGCAGCTGCGCGACAAGGCTGACGGCAGCGTCTCTCACGCCAGCACTGGCACGGCAGATTCCACAATCAACAGCAACCGCGGCACGTTCGAGCCTCCAACAGATATGAGCAATGGCATCGAGGACACCAACCCACACAACACTGACACTGGCACCACCATCGCCACATTAGGGACTACGGCGACGACGACTGCCACCACCAACGCCACCACCACCAACACCACCACCAACACCAACACCAACACCAACACCAACACCAACACCAACACCAATGTGGGCTCTGATTCGTTTCTCCCTGCGCTCCGCTCGCGACGGGCAGAGCCGGTCGACTGCAACATGACTGACGCGCCCGTATGGGAGGTTGCCATGGCGGACGTGTTGCAGCTCAAGCCAAAGGTGACGCCTGATAGCGACTTGGGTGCTGGTGGTGCGCTGCGCATCACATTCACAGCCGATGATTTCCCACCACTCTCCTCCAACAGCGGAGATGATGGTGATGCCAGCGCATACCAAGAGCAGGTGGCTGCCCACCTGAGCAGCGTGGTCAACGCCTTGCAGCCATGCATGCTGAATTGCTCCGGTGACATTCGGTCAGACATGCTGGTGTGGATGCTGCGCGCGGCCGATTGGTCCTCCGTGGCCACTGTCAACGTTCGCGGGCTCTCCACCCCAAATTTTGCCCTGTCCTTCCTCAACGCGTTCACGCGCCTTGAGGTTCTTCGCTTCCTGCGCGGCACCATTGGGCAGCTCACCCTGGCCCCAATGCCGGACGATCCAGCCGCCACCATCGGCCCTCACACAGCACACAACGCAACCGCAACAGCAACATCAACAGCAACAACAGCAGCAACAACATCAACAACAGCAACAACGTCAACAACAGCAGCAGCAACAACAACGGCAGCAGCAGCAACAACAACATCAAAAGGCAAATCACCGTCGTCGCAGCTGGTGTTTGCTGGCCAGCTGCGTGAGCTGGAGCTGAGTCGCATGTCTATCCTTGCGCTTCCCCACGGCATGTTTGAAGGCATGACACGGCTGACATATCTCAACATGGACCGTAACCAGCTCACTTCACTCCCGCGTGGCATCCTGCATCCCCTCACGGCCCTTCGTGTTCTCTTCGTTCGCTTCAACCGCCTGCAACAACTGGACGAAACAGCCTTTCGCGGCATGACGCAATTGACGGAACTCGACCTGTCCTTCAACGATCTGCAGCGTCTGCCCCCGCTGCTCCTGCACCCGTTGCCAAGACTCAGCCGCTTTGCGCTCCGCAAGAACCCGGTGTACACGCTGTACCCCACCTTCTTCCGCAACAACACCATGCTGGGCAGGCTTGATCTTGCCCACGCACGCCTCACGTCGCTGCCAGACGGGCTGTTTGCCACCAACACTGCCCTGTTCAACGTTACCCTGAGCAACAACGCCATCACTCACCTCCCGCCCACCCTCTTCCACGGCCTCACGGCGATACAAGACCTTGTGCTGAGCAGAAACGCCCTCGACCGGTTGCCTGCAGGCATGTTCCGCGACCAGACGAAGCTGGAACGCCTCCGCCTCAACGACCTTGCCCTGCACACGATTCCGCCCGATCTGTTTGCGACGTGCGTGAGCCTGGTGCAGCTGACCATGCAACGCAACCAGTTCCGCACGCTGCCCGATGATGTGTTTGCCGCACAGGCCAACCTTCGTCGCCTCTTCCTCAACAACAACCGCTTCACGCACCTCAACCCGCGCTGGCTGGCGCCCCTGACCAAACTCGAACGCCTGTTCCTCAGCAACAACGCCATCACGGCCCTGAGCGCACCCCTCAACCTGCCCGAGCTCGCGTATCTGCACATGGACAACAACCCCCTCCAACGGCAGCCTGACCTGTCACAGCTGAAGCATCTGCAGGTGCTGCAGCTCAACAACCACCACCTCACTCGCGTGGACCTCACACCACTGCTGCTCCTTCCCAAACTGCAGAATGTGGAGCTGGACGGCGGTGCGCGCCAGCCAACGCTGGCATTCCTGGACGAGAGCCAGCTTGCGTCATGGCAGGGAGGGCGCCTGACCGAACTGCATTTAAAACGCGTGTTGCTCAGCAGCTCACTTGTGGCTGCCATGGTGCGCGCCAACACGAAGCTGGAGGTGCTTACGCTCGGTGTCCCCGCCATGAACGAGACGAGCGTGCCCATCGCTGACCTCTGCATGCTGCTTGCGTCGCGCGTGGAGCTGTTTGGCCTCACCGACACGACATACACCAGCATCTCGCTCTGCCCCAACAGCGACCTCAACGCCGTCTTCTTGCAGGACAACCCGCTCCTCACCTCCCTCACCGTGCGCGACGACCTACAGCAGCTCAACGTGTCTGGCTGCACGCAGCTGACCGACCTGACCATTGCCTCTGCGGAGGTGTTGGACGTGAGTCACACCCTCGTGCCACCAACGCGTGCCATGTGCGTGACGTGGGGGTCGACATTCTTCCGCGCACGCAACCTCCGCAGCCCGTTCTTCGGGTCTGACCAGACCACGCGCAACCTGTTTGAGGCGTGCCTGGACAACGCCGGTGTTGTGGACCTGTCCGAGAATGCCTGGCTGAACAACCTGGGCGTGATTCGCATCCCCGCGGGCCGCATCACACTGCTGACGACAACAGCGCTCTATCGTCCACTGGACTTCTCCACGTCGCTCAACACACGCGCGGCGCCCCCGCTTGTAATCCTCGAGCGCATGCCCATTACCTGCAGCATTGTACTGCTGAACGTCGCGGTGCGTGCTGTCAGTGACGCAGGCGCGATCAGCAACGAGGTCGGGTACTATGTCGACTGCCGCTGTGCTGCTGCGCACTCGCTCGACGCACACAGCCGCTGCCAGCCCGACCGTCCTAATGTCCTGGCCATCGTGGCGGGCTCTGTTGCGAGCGGGACGGTGCTGCTGGTGCCGCTCGTGCTGTTTTTGTACCGCCGCTATCGCCGTGCACACGTGAGCGATGATCTGCACAAGAAACTGCTGTCTGAGCGAGATGAGGAGGTCTTGGCGCTGAAGAAGGTGTGGGAGATTGGGCACGAGGAGCTGCGGTTTGAGAAGTGCGTTGCGTCGGGGGCGCACGGGGACGTGTGGCGGGCGGAGTGGGACGCCGTGCCCGTGGCGGTGAAGGTGCTGAAGCAGAACGTGATGCTGTTTGACGAGAGCACGGTGGCAGAGTTTGAGAAGGAGGTGGAGTTTCTGCGCTGCACGCGCCACCCAAACGTGGTGCGCTTCTTTGGCGCCGGCACCCGCCCCGGTGGCTCCCCCTTTCTCGTCCTCGAATTTGTCGCACACGGCTCCCTGCGCGGCCTGCTTGGGAACCATGCGCTTGAGCGCGTACTGGAGGATACAAAGCGCGCATTGCATGTGCAAGGTGTGGGCGTGGCTCAGCGTGGGGCTGGTGAGCAGCAGCCCACTGTAGCTGACATGCTTGCAAGCACCGACCGTGAGGCGTCACGCATTGCGCAAGACACGACAGTGTGGGATCTCAAGTTACAGCTGATTCGGGACGTCGTTGCTGGCATGGCGTTCATTCACAAGCTCAACCACGTGCACAGGTGAGACGCGTTGTCTCTGTTTGCGTGTGTGTGTAAATGTGAAGCTGTGATGTAGCAATGTTTAACCTGCTCCTGCTCTTTGTCCGCAGACTCACCCATGTACACACACACACACAAACCCACCCATGTACACACACAAACCCACACACACACAAACCACTGCAGAGACTTGAAGAGCGGCAACGTGCTGGTGTCCAAGCATTTGCGCGCGAAGATCACCGACTTTGGAACCATTCGCCAGCACTTGAAGCCAACTCGAGGAATGCAATCGACATCAATCACATCATCGGCGCCAGGGCACCACACGAATGCTGCTGAGAGGCTGTTCAGGTCCACATCGATCTCATTTTCGCGTCGACCGACGCTGTCCAAGAAACCAACACCGCTCGCGAGCTCATCATCGTCATCATCACCACATTCAACAGTAAGTACACCAGCAGACACGACGGGAACAGCAGGTCACAGCAATGGCGCAGCACTGCAGCCAGCATCACGATCATCATCATCATCGTCACGATCATCGTCCCCGTACACGACGGCGACCAAGATGACGTTGCTGGGCAAAGGCTCTCCCCTTTCCACCGCACACAATGCATCGTCACCATCGACATCGACATCGACAACTGGTGGCGTGATGTATTCTCGCGAGGCGGGTGGCAGGACGATGCACTTGAGCATGACAGCCAACATTGGCACGCCCATGTACATGGCGCCGGAGGTGCTGATGGGCAGCAAGTACGACGCAAAGGCAGACGTGTTCAGCTTTGGCGTTGTGCTGTGGGAGGTCGCAACGGAGCAGCAACCTGATTTGATTGCGCAGGAATTGGGCGATGATTTTGTGGGCTCCCTCTTCCCAGCTCTTCTCTCTTTGTTGAAGGCTGGCAAGCGTCTCTCCTTCAAAGGTCAGCACCGTGCTGTGGCATTTGCACGTGCGAGCACGCGTGATCCCTTTTTGCTGCTGCTGCTGCTGCTGTTGTTGTTGTTGTTGTTGTTGTTGTTGTTGTTGTTGTTGTTGTTGTTGTTGTTGTTGTTGTTGTTGTTGTTGTTGTTGTTGTTGTTGTTGTTGTTGTTGTTGTTGTTGTTGTTGTTGTTGTTGTTGTTGTTGTTGTTGTTGTTGTTACACACACACACACACACTCACTCTCTCACACACACTCTCACACACACACACTCTCACACACACACCCGTACCTCCACACACATTCACCCACTCCCTTCGCCCCTGCCATGCGTCACACTGCCTCGGCATGTCACATGAATGGCCGCCATTGATCCACAGGACACGATGCCATTCCCGACTGGTACAAGCAGCTGACGGCTGC